AGTCCTAATGTAACAACCAAGAGTGATCTACTCTGGCGCACACAGAACACACTAAAGTGAAGATGAAGTTTGGGGAGTGGTTACCCCTTGAGCTGCAGTGAGTTAGTTGGTATACAACAGGAGGACTCGCTGAGGAGTCTCCTGGATCTATTGGGGTATATATACTGCTACAGGTTTGTTTGTACATGTGTACTATACAGTTGAAGAAGGCAGTGGCAGATGATGTCATAGGGCCTAGCCCGCATGGCCAGCTCCACTGCGTGAGAGAGTTAAGTCTAAAAATAAAAGGAAGGCAACGCGGCGCGAGAAGGGAAATGCTGCATGGCAATTTAAGGTTAAAGCGGAGAATAAAAGCAAAAGGAGATGTCCGGAAATTGTGTTATCGTAACAATATTGCCTTTCTCAAACTTGTGGCTGATCAGCACCACCTCTATTAGGCAATCCAGTCACGCTCACCTTTGTTTTTCCATCTGGTACTTTCCGTGTTTCGGCATTTCGGCAAATTTTTGCGTTGCCACTGGCTACACATTGCATTGCACCCTTGCTTTTGTCGTTTCCCTTACTCCCCTTCCTTTGCCTAGCCCCACCATGGGCCCCTTCCTCTCCTTTTTATTCTCACCTGATGGTCATTTCTGGATCCCCATTCTAATCCACTTTTTTGTCACCTCCACCCTCCTCCTCCTCATCTTATTTGCACCCCCACCATTTCTGATGTCACCACTTCCTATCCGCTTCCATCGCCAATCCGTCAACTACCACATGCCACTGCTGATATCAGCAAAGCCCTAGCGGCCAGTCCAAATAGGGCAACAGGTCCATCTTCATGACGTCAATCTGCCATCATATACTATCAAAACATCGGTTGCTCGTCTTGCCTGGTTGGAGCGTGGGTGGGTAGTTTTTGAGCTGGAGAAGGTTCATCCCCTTGCGTCGCCCATGTTCATCGCTGTCCCATTCACTTGGGTACACTTATCCTTTGTCCATCGTCTTTGCTACAGCTACACCTACCACACGCTGCCTAAGACTCACTTGTTCCAAATTGGAACTACTCCTCTCCCTCCCTTGTTTGATCAGGTGGTCCAACACAACCAGTCTATTGGTAAGGCCATGGAACTGTCGGATTTGGACTAAGTGGTGGACCGGTGGCTCCAGTTTCTTTTTCTTCAGCAGAACATTCATTTACAGTGCAGTTATTTTTGATTTTTGAATCATTTTATGGACACATATTTTTTTAGAATGCCTGACTGACAATAAAGGAACTGTGTTGATACTGATAATGTTTTGCCTTGCCCTTTTTTTACTGCATCTTCCCATGACATCATGATTTTCCTGCTCTCTTTTTGCTATTGGACTTTACTTTATGGCTGTACAAACCTGTGACATTACTCACAGCATTTATTGTTCTATCCCTTTCTTTCCCTTATTTTGACAATCTTATCCTGTAGCAACTACGCAGGATTTGTCAGCGTACATTCCTTCCTTCATGTTCTTTCTCATTCTTTTTGCGCAGCTATACTGTGCATAGCCTACCTTTCTTTTCACCATATAAACCCCTGTATTTTATCTTGTAAAAAAAACAAAGAACTCAAATCCAGACTTCTTCTCTACTCTCAAGTTCACTACTCTGCTACTTGTGATCCAGTGTAGTCACAACACTTCCCACTTCTACCACTGTTAACTGCTGTCATTGTCACTTCCAACTTTTGAAGTCATTTTCATCCCTTTTGATTAGAGTCCTTCTGAGCACTACAGTTTGTGCGTCAGGAGCCTGCTATCACTGGGAACCTTGTCATTCTCAAACCTACCTTGTGCTACAATTAGCAAGGTAGTGCTCATCTATACTCGTTATTAAGCCCCCATCTTCTATAAATTCAACTATCCCTCCTCCTCAAAACCCACACCCATACATCTCTGAGTTTTACTTTGGAGGATCTTCATACATACCACCCCACGAACAACCAGAGCACCCACCGTTCTAGGAGGCAAAGCCCATAAACAAGTTCCGTGGAATCTGGGAGGATTGTTTGTTAGTTTGTTTTTGTGTGTGGTTTTCTAACAACGGTTCTCATCATCAACAACGTGATCCATAATCACCACCAAGGGAAAAATTGGTCATTCCCAGGAAGTTCTCGCCCCCGGCGGGCCACCAAAGCTACCTGGAAGGTCCCCAGGGCTATTCTGGGACCCTCCCAGGAACTTCTGCGGCCACACTCAAGAGAGCCCCTCTGTTCCTTACTTCTGAGCGGCTATTATCAAGACACCCACCTTTACCAAACGTGCTTCCCTTGTGTGCTTCTTTGTACCATTCCACCGGTATCAATTAGTAAGTGCTAAGCCATCAGATCGTATCTGCAAAGAAGGTTGACAATGACTCACAATTGCTCAGGAGATTTTCAAGTGTATAACTTCAAAAACTTGTGGGGATTGAGTCTCATGGCAGGCCTAGGTGAGCTATTAAGTAGTATGCTATATATTTTTATAGAGTTCATGTTGTCAAATAAAAATTACGCTATCTGACTATTTCCTCCATTGCCCAGCCCTTCTTGCCGATACTGAAAGCCAACTCGATAATCTTTGTTTTGTTAGCATAGGCCCTGACAGGTATCTCCTCTGTTGGAGGTTTCCAGGCTCAATTCAGCCTCCGGCATATCTTAAGATGGCATTTGCGGTTGATTGCAAGATCTTGTCAAGACAGTGCTATTTAACTACTCAAGGAGACAACAGCATGTTTGAAGGTTATCCAGACATACATAGCACTGTTGCATCTTGCTGGCTTGAACCAATGGAAGATCAGTGTGGGCTTAGAGCGTGGCAGTGTCTTTTGCACTGTCTTCACAAGGTTTCACTGAGTCTCGGTGAGGGGACATGTACCTCTGAGCTGATCTCAAGGCCTATTGCAATTGGACCTGATGAAACAGAACTGATACAAGTCTCGTCGAGACTCTATGATGATAATGATGTGAGTGTCTTTTTTTTGAGAAATATAAGGCTAATTAAATTTTCATGTGTTTGGCTAGCATTCCCTCGCAAATGAGTTCCCAATATTCAATTTATGTGGGGACCAAAGGCCACCAGAAACGTTTGATGACATCCCGATTGGCCTGCCTGTCAAGGTGTGTTTCACACTACTACATGGTCCAGGTATACATGGAAACCGACTTATTCGAGAACATTTCCTGTCTATTTGTGAGGCTCAATACAGTCAGTTGCGCACTCTTCTGCAAAATGCAGTTTCATGATGACTGTTCTTACTTATTTATTTCTAGTATAGCCTAGTCACTCTGTATTTTATATTACCTGATCTACATATATTTCACTGTGATGTTTAGAAGGTCGCCAAAGTGTTTGAGTAATAGTGTACTAGCTGTCTTAGCAAAGCTTCAGCCAGTTTGAAATAGAAATTTAAATAAAAAGGAGAGTGCTCACCACTCCTATTCTCCAGTTTTGTCAACAACGGACTACAGCCCAACTACCTAGTAAAAGCATGTCAGTCCTCAAGCCAATGGTTGTCAGAGGTGTGATTAAAAACACCTTGACTGCTGGTGAATGTGTAAAGTTTGAGAATAATTGGAATGAATCTGTGAGTTGTTTTGTCATACAATCCAGTTAAAGATAAGAACTTACTTGAAATGAAGGTGAAACAATGTGTCAGAGCATGGGAAGGTAGTCATTCAACCCCAGCCAGTGAATTTCAAATGGCCCAGTACGAATGGGAGGCCCATGTGGTCGAGTATGTGGACTTTGTCAGTTCGGCAACATCTGTTCACCCCAACAGCAAGAGTGGGTCAGTTCCACCAAATCTGAAGAGTAGCATACCTTTTTATGGCCCTCAATTTACACCTCCAACATTTTTGCAACTAGAAAAACGTAAACATCTTCCAAATGTGAAGCCTGGAACTGCTTACATGAAGGAGATAACCATTGTCCACCCCTTCTATTTTGACGGCCTTGATCAATGCCCGAGGTGTCAGTCTCTGGATGTGAAGTGGGGAGGATGGACTTCCACAGGACATCGAGATATTCATGGCATCCAAAGAGAAGAGTACGCACTAGGAGTCCAATTGCAATGCAAGGCCTGCAAAGAGAATAATAAGCAACGTGGTGATCCTAAAAGTGGAGAAGATATGTACTGCTTTGCGACCACAAGTCATCTATTCTGGGAGAAGTGGGAATTTTGGAAGATCCCTCGTTAGTAATTATTGTTTATCTAGCAATGAACAGCTCAGACTTTGAGTGAAGGTCTAAATATATTGAAATAATGTACCTAGCAATGAACAGCTGGAAAAACAAAAGGTAAGCTAGGTACTCGTTGTAACAACCAAGAGTTAGTTACTCTGGCGCACACAGGAACACACTATAAAGGTGGTGGAAGACGGGGAGTGGGTACCCCTTGGGCTGCAGTGAGTTAGTTGGTATACAACAGGAGGACTCGCTGAGGAGTCTCCTAGATCTATTGGGGTATATATACTACTACAGGTTTGTTTGTACATGTGTACTATACAGTTTGATGAAGGCAGTGGCTGATGATGTCATAGGGCCTAGCCCGTATGGCCAGCTCCACTGCGTGAGAGAGTTAAGTCTAAAAGTAAAAGAAAGGCAACGCGGCGCGAGAAAGGGAAATGCCGCGTGGCGCTTAAAGTATAAAGTTAAAGCGGAGAATAAAAAGGAAAGGAGATGTCCGGAAATTGTGTTATCGTAACACTCGTAATTTAACACTAAAGGGGAATCTCACCTCAGACTTCGAGTGAAGGTCTGAGGTGTCTGCCTAACAACGACAGCGTATATAAGGGAGAACGGAATCAAAATCAAAAATGTTATCTGATGGCGCACGGGCCACTCCATCTACTAGGCCTGCCTAGTTCGGCGCTTGCGCCACTTCCCTTCTTTGTACGACACTTGTTTCTCTCATATCTCCAACAGTAATCCCATCATCAAGACAGCTGCCACTGATCTCACCAGATTAAACAGGAAATGTGCCAGTCTTCTTCAAAAAATGCGGTATGACACGCGATCTGTTTGATCTGATCATTGAGTTGCGACCTTCAACCACATCGGCTGGACTGGCAGAAAATTTCAAATGTAAGTCATCATGTCTTTTGTGCCTTCAACACTTACCTGGAAATGTGTCATTGACCGCAGAACTCCATCTTTTCGACTATCAGCAGCGCTTTCTAGAATACTTACAACATTTTGAAAAGAGAAGAAGGTGTCACTCGCCTTTTGAGCCATGTGCTCCTCTTGTGGAATTCTCACTACCAAACCTGAGCAATGCATATGGTGACAAACCTATTACTGATGATCTTATCACAGATGTTTATCTTGAAGTCAGTAAACGCTCACGACAAGCTGAGTCATCTGAATACTTACGCACCTTGTCTGGTGAGATCCTTTTCCCTTCAGTAGCTGATCAACTCTGGAACTAACATGGGATGCAACAGGTGTTTGTATTTCTCTCGACAATACTTTCAAAGCTGCAGGGAAGGCAACAGTGGCAGATAAGCAGAAGACAAGGACCAAGTTCATGAGGGGGGGAATGCTTACCGCTATAAACGAGGATAATGAGATACTTTTTTGGGTGAGTTTTGTTTTATTAATGTTTGAACTTGCTGGCTAATCCGGATCTAACAGAGACTTTGCCAAACTCAAGCAAACACAGAAATGGAGGAGTTGCTTGAAGGCTTGAAGTCTCGCTATGAAAAACTGGATCAGCCCCTCCCACAAATGGTCATTGTTGATAACTGCTGCCACGTACGCAGTGCAGTCAATAAAGCAATGCCAGATGCACAAGTTGGCCTGGATGTATTCCATTTCATTATGAGGTAAGTAAACACGACTTATCTGTTCTTGTACTCACATATTTGCAGGTATCTTGCTGCCATTCTCAACGGAACCAGGAACCCTCAGTGTTTGGCTGTAGCCCACGACATTAGCAAAGCTATCCTGAGTTCACGGGCATCAGGTAATGGAGAAAGTGCGAAGTATCAAACAAAAGAAGAGCAAGAGGTCCAGCTTCAAACGATGTTTGAGAAGTGGGCCGAAAAGGGCGGGGTGTGGTCTGCAGCTGCCTCCAAGGTAAGTACTTCATTTTTCATGCCATATACACTACTACTGACAATCTAAATTACACAGGTGCACGCAGACCAGTTCGCACACATCAAAAAAGGGTGTTTGATGCGAGTTTGGCAAGATATAAGATCAGATAGAAGCCGCATTGAAGGGTTGCACAAGGCTTGGAACGGCATCATGCGGTCATTCGCCAGCGGCCTGGAGATGTTCTTAGCCTTAGGTTTTGATTTTGTGATACATTGTTACGATAACACAATTTCCGGACATCTCCTTTCATTTTATTCTCCGCTTTAACTTTATACCTTAATTGCCACATGGCACTTCCCTTTCTCGCGCCACGTTGCCTTTCTTTTATCTTTAGACTTAACTCTCTCACGCAGTGGAGCTGGCCATACGGGCTAGGCCCTATGACATCATTAGCCACTGCCTTCATCAACTGTATAGTACACATGTACAAACAACCTGTAGTAGTATATATACCCCAATAGATCCAGGAGACTCCTCAGCGAGTCCTCCTGTTGTATACCAACTAACTCACTGCAGCTCAAGGGGTAACCACTCCCCAAACTTCATCTTCACTTTAGTGTGTGTTCTGTGTGCGCCAGAGTAGATCACTCTTGGTTGTTACATACATCGTAACATACGCATTCGCTTCCGCTCGCAGAAACCGAGCAAATTCCTTAGTTCCATCCATGGGACACACCACATCCGCTTAGCTAACCACATTGCCAACTCATGGAACAGCTTGCTTTCCACAGAACCAACTCACAGCAACAACAGTCAAGAGCTGAAGGCACGCCCTTTCCTTTCATCCATCAACACCAAAGAATCCTTTGGTCTTGGCCCCTCTAACCACAGCTCAATATTTGGAGGCCTCATAGAAGTTAAGACTGAGGCTAATTTTGATGAGCAAGACCTCAGCCTGGATCAATTAGACTTAGATGCCGAGATTGAGCCCACATCAATCCTGCAATGCCTGGATATCGACCCCAACTTGCTTACAGTGCCTCAAATCACCTTAGGCAAGTATCCTTTTCACCATGACTGTCTTGCTACCTAACTAACTTCTGTCCTTTTCAGCTGACACACAATACTCATGTGCTCTACTTGAGTATGCCTCATTGCAACCAGGTGAAATGATGGCTATAACTGAGCCAACAGCGCTTGCCAATTCCAGCCAATCTGGGCCTCTCAAGCGGAAGGTCCCATTTTATGACCTAACTGAAGATTTGGGGCCACTTGCTGGCGCATTGGAAGGCCCACTACAGAAGAAGAGTTGTATCCCCACTGCTCAGGTATGTAGATTTAATATCCTTTTTGGAAATACTCATGTACACTACTGCATAGGAGACAACAGCGAACACCCTAAGTACATCAGCAACAAATGCCCCAAGTACACCGGCTACAAATGCCTCAAGTATACAGGCAAAAGGCACTGTAAGTACATATCTGACTATAATGAAATCAACACTGAGCATGCCCATGGTACCCACTTATCCGGACCAACCAGCCATCCACCAGCAATATTATCAGCATGTTTTTTGCACCTGGATCAAAGACTGTCGCCCCCAAGTGCCCTAGTGACAAACACACGAGCCAAAACTTGATGGCGGCCTTCTCACCACTTGCTGACCCCAACTTGAATGGTCTCTCACGCTTTCAGCGCATATTTTCCATCTTGACGGGTATCGACCCACGTTCACTCACCCTCAACTCTAGTGCCAAATTTTTCCTATTCATGGATATGCGCCTACAAAATAAATGGGCATTGTTCAGCATGACGTCTCAAAAATGGGTTCTGGCTACAGCAGACTATAATAGTAGACTAGAGAAGCTTCCTAAGTCTGGTGGTAGCCCAGCAGTTATGAAAAATCCCCGTGCACTATTTGACAAATTGGGGGAAATAGAGACAAAGATTGTCAAGAGGATCAAGTCTAATAATTTTGTGTGTAAGAATTGTTTGATCATATTGTACTACTGAATTGTCTGTCTCTTTCATCAGCATCAAGCGGCAATGAGAAGTTTTGGAGAACCCATTGTTTCATTGTCCAGCTCGTTAAAGGAGAAAACACAGACCTGAAATCAGTAAGTGATAAACATACATGAAACAATATATGAATGATTCAACTATGCTACTAGCGTAAGACTCAAATATGTAGCCGTTGTCATGCACCAAAATTGATTGGTAGCATGGACAGGTGTCAATAACAAAGCGAATATTCGAAAAGACTCGCCTTTGCGCCACACAGGCACAGTGCCACGTGGAATAGTAATTAATATTGCCTGTTTCGAACTTGTGGCTGATCAGCACCACCTCTATTAGGCAATCCAGTCACGCTCACCTTTGCTTTTCCATCTGGTACTTTCCGTGTTTCGGCATTTCGGCAAATTTTCGCGTCGCCACTGGCTACACATTGCATTGCGCCCTCGCTTTTGTCGTTTCCCTTACTCCCCTTCCTTTGCGTAGCCCCACCATGGGCCCCTTCCTCTCCTTTTTATTTTCACCCGACGGTCATTTCTGGGTCCCCATTTTAGTTCA